CCTGAATAAAATAAAAATAATATAGTCAACGTCACATGTGCTTAAGTAATAAAGTCAGACAATAAAAATGTTACGAAATATATCAGTTGCCCTACTATATTGAATTTATGTGAATTTTGAAGCAGAGCGTTTCACTTCACTCACGCATACAGTCAATAACACGACAATAAAATAAAAAAATATTAAAAAGTGCTAATTAGCAGCAATAATAATGTAAATTATTTTACTACAAAAAAAATTGTAGTAGAAAATGTCCGTTTAGACATTATCAGTGTTAAAAACACGATATAAAATGTAAAAATATAGTATTATGGGAATGTCGTAAATATTTCCATGACTGTTTAATAAAAACTTTTATGGTAATATGCAGTTTCCAACTTCAATGCAATCATTATTTGATTCTGACGTGACGGTCTCCTTAATAAAGTTGTATAGTTTAGTTCTTTTAAATGAGATTTAAAGAGATTACTTTTAATATTAATTTTCGGATTGTGTGATTTTAATAAATGTATTTAAAAAGAAGATACTGGTGGTAATATATAAATAAATACTATTTGGTGACAATAGTATGTAGATGTTATAGTGGCTCAGGTAATATTGTGCTTTAAAACAAGTCTAATTTTTTGATTCTTTAAATTAAGTATGTTTCAAACACAGTATAGATAATTTTAATAGTATTATAACTTTATAAGTAGAAGTAATCTGACCTATTTTAGATTGTACCTAGTTTCTTGCTCATAGAAATACATGCTAAGTGTAATTAGTATGAATATTTATTTTTTTATAAATAATATTTTCAAATTGTTTAATGAGATGGAAAATTATGACAACTAGAAAAACAAAAACGGCAAACACACATTCCATAAAATATTTATGTTACATATATGTAATATAATAATAGATAATATAAAAAGCTACATATATTTTAATTTATGTATAAAACACATGACTATAGTTAAGACAATATTTACAACATAATCTATTGATATATTTTCAAGAATATATAGATAGAGCAAAAAAGCTAAATATTTGAATAATAATTACTGTTGTAAGAAATTGTTCTAAGCATGGGCGTAGCCAGGAAATGAGGCAGGATGGACAAGAAACAATTTTTACAATTAAAAATTATATTAATAAATTATTTATATTAATGTTTTTAGACTAGACATAGGTTATAGGTAACGAGCGAAAGACCCTATATAATTGTCCGATGGATTATAAGTGCACAAATATAGGGTCATCGCTCTATATGCTCACTTAGCTATGTTCATGTTTATTATTATTCTTCACATAATGTTTAAATAATTTATTATTATATATCTGATATCTTTAAAAGTTTTTTGATATAGATTTTTATAGTCCTTTCATAATATTTTTTGAATTTCAACCAAAAAACTAAGTAAAAAGGATCATTTTTGAACGCTAGTATATATTAAGCATTAGACTAGTGTATAGTGTATATATCATAAATTGGGTATAGCATAGAAGTTCGTACATTAGACTTTATTATCAAAATATGGGAGGCTACTACATATATGTGTTATGATACTTGTATAGGTATATAGTGTAGAAAATGTATATAAGTTCAATGTTTTGAGTTACGGATACTTAATCGTATGTAGTGCGGCAAAATTGGTAGAACTTTTTATAAATCTGTCATATTATGTACATTAAGATGCTTTGAGTAGTGCTAAGTATCGCGTGTTTCTATTGATTGTGTGTGTTTATATTGGTTTATTGTTGGTACATATTTCGTATGTTGGAATAGATGTTTATGTATTTTAAATTATTAGTTTTAAATATCATTAATGTTAGAATATATATTAACCATGCTACATATATATTTATTTATATACATTATATTTAACAACTATTTATATTTAAATTTAAAAACAATCAAAATATTTTTTACCGAGTTTGAGTGACCATTTGCAAATTTACTTAAAAATTATAATTTATAATAATATAAAAGTGAACAACGGTAATACCATTTTTAAGATTTCACATATAGGCAGCTAACACAGCAAAATCAGTAGAAATATCGTGAAATCTTGAGATTAAAGATGCCAAAGATCAAAGATCCAAAACAATATTTTGTATTTTATTAAAGGTCCAAATAAGCTTTAAACTCTTTGATTTAATCGGAAAGAGAATGGGTCTGAAAGAGATCCGTGAAAACACTGCAATAACCTACACATTATGTATAGAAACACTAACTAATCACATTTTTTTCGTAATTAAAGTGTAATTAAAATCTTTAAAATAAATAATTCGTTTTGAGTCTATTATTTTTAATACACGCTGTATGGTTACTTTCTATAACAAGGAAGTCTCAATGACTAATTATACTGTACAGGTGCGTTCACATATCAATTGATCAATATCCATACTATTGAGTACTGTGCTTGTACTTAATAGAGACCATATGTTATAATATCAAGCAGCTGGGCAAAGTCTATATTTCTACAAGTATTTCGCCAGTATGCAATGCCATGTAGCTTGAACGGTTGTATTATATAAAAAAATGTTGGTACTAAAGTGTCGAAAGTAAATGAGAAATCTTACTTTAACTAGCCGCTTCTGTAGCTTCAATACTATATACTATATGGCTTACACTGCAAGCGTGAAGCATAAAACTTGTGCAAGTTGCTTGAAAAGTGATTGGACTCTATGAAACTTTTGATTTCGTGTCCCTGTTAGATCTAGAGAAATATTTTATTTGATATTACTATATAGAATTATTTCGTGTAGGTAAAACCACTGTTCGCTTATATATCATTTGTTAACCATTCTTTTCGAATATAAAAACAGAAATAAAATTTTGAAATAAAGTATTCGATGCATGAAACATCAATAATAAAGCTGAAATGTTTTCATTTAAAAATTCTATAAATAATTAATGATAACTAAATATTCATAAAGGAACATAACTAAAAAGCGCACAGATAACCTACAATATACATCCTTTTGTCCACCGCGTAAATCATCCGCACGACGTCTGGAGAGCGCTACACATACAACAAGTATACCCACCGCAACAACAATTACAGTAGCGATCAATGGCACCATAAAATTCAAATCTAACCATTCTGGCATCCATGCTGGCAAACGTATGCGTGTGTGTATATTTCCAGAACTTTGACCGTCATCCAATGGCGCTATTGTGCCTGTTTTTAGTAATATTAACGCGACACGCAACGCATCATTTTCGAATTAAGTTTCGATTACGATTCGAAGTTAGATAATTGATAACGAATGTCAAAATAATTTGGTGTTATACAAACCGTTTTCACAATTTCATTCAATTACAAGCATATTTACGTGTATTACGTGTATTTATTGTAAACAAAAATTTGCATGCATAATTTGTAATTTCGAACAAAGGAATTTTCGAAATTTTCGAAATTTTTATGTTTTTGTTTTTTGTAATTCATAGCCACAAACATTAAAACCGTTTAATGATGCATAACGTTATTTTTGAACATAATACAGGATCATTTCGAAATCATAATGGATAGTAAGTAATTTAAGCGGGTAATCGAATAGTAAGAGAGAGAGCGAGAAAAAAAGAGAAAAAGAAAAGAATATGTTAATAAAACTGTTTTATACCTTTGTGATGATTGCCTTTGCTACGTAGAATACAAATAACAATTATTGCTATGATTATAACAAGTAGAGCAGCTACCACCGGCACAACTAAATTTAAGTTCGAAAGTATGATGCGGATGGTATCCTCGGCAGTTAATTCGGGTAAGTCACGCGAAGGTGCAATTGTGCCTGTAACAACCAAATGTAGCGTACATGTTTGCTTTATGCTCTTCTTTTCAAATTTTTTTTTTTTTAATTTTAAAATAGATATTTCATAGGTTTATTTCGCTTTATAAATTCTTTCTTTTTATTTAAATTTTTAACTGAAATTTCGAACATTACCTTTGTACCTCATATTTCGAAAATACATATACACAAATTTACAAAAGAACGATAGTAGTAACATAAACTAAGTCGAAAATTGAAAATTAATTCGAACAAACATTTTTAACAGTATAAAATAATTTATAATAGAGTTAAAAATTTTTTTAAAGAACCGTGATATTAACAATAATAACAGGCAAACTAGTGTAGATTATTAGAAAAATAACTATTTTATATATATGGTAGAACATATAAAACTTTTATAATAAGATTATTCACTAAAATTATTTAAGTTAGTTTTGATCAATAATATTTTTAATAATTATTTATATTATTTATGATATAAAAATGTAATGATCTATGTAATCTTATAAGCGAAGTTTTTAAATTTAAAATAATACCTTAAGTATTACACTATTCATAAAGTATATAATAATGGAGATGAATTCGAATAAATATTCGAAAGCCATGAAAAAGTGTTTTGATATAAAATGTGTCGATGTATGTAGAAAACATATGTGATAAAATTGTCTGAATGTTATTTTCAAAATGATGGTATAAGTAATGTGATAATGATTCAAATTAATGGAAAACATAAAAAGTTCATATAAAAATGTGTTATAAAATAATCAATACAAATATTGCAGATGTCCTTAGGTTCAGAAAAAAGAAAGAAAGAAAATTTCAGAAAAATTCAAAGAAATTTAAAGTCGAGCTGTGAACTCAATAAGAATCGGACTTAATTTGATATTTAAGTACATCTAAGGTCTTTTTATACTTTCAAGGCAAATAACATAAGAAAAAAATGAATCTTATAAAGACAATAAATAAGAAGGAAAGAAGGAAAGATAACATAATTACAACAACAATAACAACAGACAATAACTACTACCCATGCAACAACAGCTACAATAGCTGTTGGAGCACTTTTTTAGATGGTCGCGCATTGGGGTGTTGAAGAAACACGAGTATGTTTGAATTCGAACATTTGAATCGAAATCTTTAAATGTTCGAATTTATTCGACTTACGCCTTGTTTTCACTATGTCATTTTAAACGGCAATTATAATTGACTGGTGTTTCAAATGCGTTTTCATTAACTGAGCAGAATGCGAATATAGTGAGGTATTACTTCGACATCGAATCGAATCAAAATCTTCAAATGTTCGAAATTATTTGACTTAGGCCTTGTTTTCACTATGTCATTTTAAATGACAATTATAATTGACTGGTGTTTCAAATGCGTTTTCATTAACTGAGAAGAATGCGAATAAGTTATCATATGACTACCCGTTTTCATTATACTGACAATATTTGACATAGTGACATAGCGAGGTGTTACTTCGCCATCGAATCGAAATCTTTAAATGTTCGAAATTATTTGACTTATGCCTTGTTTTCACTATGTCATTTTAAATGACAAATATAATTGATTGGTGTGTCAAATGCATTTTCATTACATGAGAAGAATGCGAATATGACATCATATGACTACCCGTTTTCATTATACTGACAATATCAATATCAATATTTTCGAACATTTTCATGAGGTTCGCTGTGTATGAGTATTTTGCATACCTGAACATAAGAAAATACCGCAAGTTTTGTTCAGCTCAATTAATATTTGAAACCCTCAGTGATGCTTACTATAAGCACCGACTATAAGCACAAATTTTTTAAGTGAGGTCACATAAGACATCTTCAACTTTTTTTATTTCTACTATAAGTGGAAAAAAAATTTAAATCAGTAAAATTAAAATACTTAATAATATCATCGTTCATAATAAGTAAAGAAGAAAAAGATTTGGCAATTTATTCACCTCAGACACATTTGATCCAATTTATATATACAAGAGGTATATTTACAATATATTAAAGATTCATACATAAGTTGTTCAAAATTTGTGAATGATAGATTATTAAAAGTTATATATACTTTATGAGATAAAAAGCATTAAAACTTCTAGAAACTTTTAAAAACTTCGCATAAGCATATATGTATTTAATTTTGAATTAATATTATAAAATATTATATGTACTAAAATATTTTTAATTATCGTACTTAAATGCAATTTGTTTTTTATTGGTTTAAATAAATTTCATCGTTTTCAGCTAATATCAAAAAGAAACTAAATTAACTCATATGCCAAAATTTTATTTTAATTTTAGATTTCTATATGTAATTAGTTTTAAAGCAAAGTAACTGCGTTAACAAGATAAATATATATAGATATGTTTGAGTTAATTAACTATCAAAATTAATTTTATGCGAGTATGTAATTTTTAGTAACATTCCTTAGCATTATCATTATTTTTTTAATTAGTCTTTATATATTAAAAACGCATAAAAACAAAAATCAGTTTTGATGTTCTGAAATGACGAGCGAACGAACTTTTTAATTATAACAAAAACTAAATTTAATAATTTATAAATATATAAAATTTATATATAAACTAATATTAACTAAATTGAAATGAATGAAAATGTAAAATTTAAATTAATTTAAAAAACGAAATAAACTTATTTGTTTTGATCATTTTCAAATTTCATATTCCTCATGAACGAATGATTCTTCGTCTGAATCCTTTGGTTGTTGCAGGTACAAATTTCAATCACTGATTTTTCTCAGTGTTTTTGTATATATTTTTAATTTGATATTTTTAATTTAATTTCATTGCTTAATATTTTTCTTTAAATTTTTTTAAAATTAAATTTTTAACTATTAATTAATTGATTTAAATTCTGGTTTATAAAATGAAAATTGTATGCTTTGGATTTTTTCGGTGAAATGCTAATTAATAATTTGATTTACGAAATATAAAAACTAATAAAAATGCATAAAAATATGATATAACAACTAAAATATAATAAATTTTGTTATTTATTTTAAGTTTAAGTTTTACAAACCAAGTTATTTTATACTAAAAATAATTTCTTATGAATATAATAACGTGTTTACTTTTTTACAATAGTTTTTTTTTTTAAATTTAATGCAGAAAAGTTGAAACTAAAATTTGTACTTCTCTCTCCGGTCTTTTTTATTTTACTTGCCAAATCTATTTTACAAGTTAAACGAGCTGTATTTTGTAACAATCTGTGAGATATATATTGTGCTAACGACAAATGCATACTAATACTTGTTAATATAGGTCATACAGCCATCATAGTGCCATTCTTCATTCCCCATTCTGCATTCACCATTTTTACTGTTTACAGATTCGAGTCCATCATTGTTTTTTGATACGTTTTTGTGTTTGTTTTGTAATCCTGTTATTTTGGTATGCTTTACTACTAGTAACTGATCCCTACTTTATTATTTTAGAGAATAGTGGTTCTGAGTCGTAGATCCATCGATTTTGGAATCCATGTACGTTTGTTTTTATTACCCTGTGTTATTTTGATATACTTAAATGCTAGTAATCTGATCTCTACTTTATTAATTTAGAGAGTAGTGATTCTGAGTCGTAGACCCACCGATTTTGAAATCCATGTACTAGTAGATGTAGTTAGCGAATGAGTTCACAATGTTATTCATTAATTCAGTTGTTTTGTCCATATCTAATAAAAATAGAATATGCGTTCCAATCTCCGAATCCGGTTTAACTCATTTAAAGTATATATTTTACTTGAGTTTCAGTTTGGATAAATTTTTATATGATTAATTAAATATTACTTAACATATTAGTACCTCTATGTTTTTCATTCAAATATATACAATTACTTATTTTTAAATATTACAGACACCAAACAATACATATATTTATAGCATAAGTTTCTTATGTAAAGAAAATTTAAATGTCTAGTTAACAGTAATTAAGAAGAATTTATTTACTTTTCAAAATAATGTTTATACATATTGCTAATAGGGAATATCCTTGAAGGGCATAAGCCTTGTTCGACACTGTACTTATTGTGCTTGAAAAGGGTTTATACAAATTTGTCGCAGAGTAATTTGTCAATATCAACCAAAAACTTGTTAACTTTAACAAAAATAATTAATGAAGGCAAATCCAGTATTTTGTGCCAAAGTTCGTAAACCTTAGGAACTGATATTTATAGGTCTTAGGAACATAGTATTTAAAAAAAAATTGGTATAGAATAAAAAGTTTCGTTTATAATGTTTACGGAATAATGATACGGAATGTCAAAGAGTCATATATTCAGGAAGGATATTAATTTAAAAAACTTATTATTTAGTAAGTAGTTTATCTAACTATCTAACTACTAGATCTAGTAAAGTACATCTAATTATCTGACAACCAAAACAAAAAGGTTAACTTTTACATAAATGGATCTTTCAACAAAAGACAGAAATGGGAAATATATGTTATGAAAAAAATTATATATAAGTAATTCATACCATACCGAGATAAAAACATATCACTATATTTAAGAGCAAAGTCCGATCAGTTGAAGTGTACGGTATTATAGAAGGCGCCATAAATATAAGAGAGGCTCCCTCATAGAAAGTGGGATGGATTGATGTCAGTAAGAAATAGAGATGAATAAAGGAAAACAGGTTTAGGTTCTTAATGTATTATCAAAATGTAAAAGAAAGGTGTATATAGATTCTGATCAAAAAAGCACGAAAGGCCTATTTTTGAATTGCCGCGCTTATCCAATCGGTAAATTTTTTTTATTTTCACGCTGGCAACACTATTATACACATTCTGTCAAAGTTTAACGCATATCGTACGATTAGTTCCTGTTTGGCGTCTGTACAAAAAGTCGAAAAATTTTCGTGTGGCGATTTTTATAATGGATCAAAAATTAGAACGTGCGTGCATCAAATTTTGTGTTGCAAATGGATTCAAGTGTGCCGAAACTGTTAAAAAAATGTTAAAAAAGGCCTTTGGTGATTTGTGTGTGTCGCAACCACGAGCATACGAATGGTTTAAAAGGTTCAAACACGGTCGTACAAGCTTATACCATGATGAGATCCCTGGCCGCCCAACAACTTCTGTTACTGAAGAAAACATTGAATCGGCGAAGCAGATCGTGTTGGAAAATCGTTGTGAACCGATTAGAGAGATTGCAGTGTTGTTAGACATCTCATATGGATCGGCCGAACACATTTTAACTGATGTTTTGGGTTTGAAACCCTTTGCTTCTCGGCTGGTGGCAAAAAAGCTGAATTTCATTCAAAAAAGCAGCAGATTATGGCCAAAAACTCCACCAATATCATTAACCAAGCACAGTACTCTCCAGATATGGCCCCGTGTGACTTTTTCCTCTTCCCCCAACTCAAATTGTCATTGCGAGGAACGCGTTTTCAGACCATAGACCATTTTTCGACTTCTTTGTATCGACGCTAAACAAAAACTAATCGTACGATATGCGTTAAACTTTGACAGAATGTGTATAATAGTTTTGCCAGCGTGAAAATAAAAAAATTTATCGATTGGATAAGCGCGGGAATCACAGTTCCCGTCAATAAGTTCTTTTTTGATCACAAGGTAAGTGTAAATATGCAGTCATATCTCAATTTTATTTACAAACTATTGACAAAAAACAAATATTTAGAGCTATTCGATTTAAATTCGTATATTCGTACTCACTGAATGATTCGAATAGCAAATCAATTGAATGATATTGACAGTCTTCATTTGCAAACATTTTTATCAATTTATCAATTTGTAATATATTTTTTGATGATCGCGTTTTGATTACGTACCAATTTAAAATCTATAATAATATTTTTAAATAAATAATTTAATTTTAACTTAGTTGTCACAGTCACTATTTTTTACAATAATTAATACACACATTATTTTCTAATTCGAAACTAACTATTTTTAAATACATATTACACATTTTAGCAGCTATAATATATATACGATTTAAATAATAAAATTAAGTTTATGATATTCCTTACAAATATACAAGGGATACATAGTATAAAATTACAAACAATTTGCTGACATATATTTACATTTTAAGGACTGTATACATTTCTTTTTTTAGCTGTCTTTTAAGCATTTCTATATCAATATAAACAAAGGTCTCCACAGATTTTCAGTATTTTATATATTTATATGAATATATATGGGATGTATTATATTAAATTATAATATTATAATATTTATACACAATACATTTTTTATGTATTTTTTTACTTTGATTTAGGATTTAGCATATTTCATATATCTTATATACGAGTATATAGTTAAATAAACTTGGTTCATAAAACTTTACTTTCAGAAATAAATAGTAAATAAAGTTTAAATAAAGAAACTATTTTATACTAATTAATAAATGATAAAATAATAAGTTTAAATACATTTGATTTGTTAATTTAACTACAAAATGCTGCTTTAGCTATTTTACTTTCGTTGTGTGATAAAGGTGATTTTGGTTGTGATTTGGTGGTAATTTCGGGGATTGAGGATAAAAACAAATTGCATTTACGCAAGAAAACTATTAAGTTTTTTTTTTTTTATATTAACAACGATTCATTGCAACTATTTTCTAAAAATGTATAAAATCATAAATTATATTTATAAGATTTTTAGTATTTTAATTACATTAATTGGCCAATTGTAAAAAATTGAACTGAACATTTGAGAAAAAGCGTAAAAAGTTATACTTGAAACTTAAACGAAAGTGCACTTGTAATAATAAAAAAACAATAATTAAATTATATTTAATATTTGAAAAGCAAGATACACTATAAAAAATATTCAATCAAACTTTATATACAGAAAAAGCAGGCGTGGCTATTTCTCTTAGAGTTTTTTACTTTCAACGTAAAACAATTTCTTGTTATTTGTATGTAGGCAATGTTGTGAGCTATACAAATTATTTATACTTAATACTTTATCTACATTATGATTATCTTATATACACATATATACATACTTATGTATATTTATTTGTTTAAAAATTTATTCTCTTTGCTATTTTGACAGCCCCTAACATTGCCTACTCTTTACGTAGTTTTTATGTACAAAAGCAATGTGAAATTATAGTTAATATTTTGTATATCACTTTTATATATAGAAAATAATTTATATATAAAACATTATATACAATTTATTAATTGGAAAACAGATCATAAATACCTCCAGTTACAGTTAATGTAGCAAAATCATACTCAGCAACGGTGAAACCAGCTGAGTTATGCGCTGTGATGCGTAGATTATACCAGGTTGCAGGTTCCAAGTCCAAGACAACATAATTGTTATCAGGCTTAACATTATTTGATATTTGATTCCATTCAATTTGGTCACTAAGAAAATATTTAAATTGGAATACCATCAGAATAGAATTAGAATAAATAGAATCTTTAATAATGATGTGGTTTTTAAATAGATATTCAGCTTTTAGGCGTTCATACCGTTTTTTGTTTTCTACCACGAAGTGCGACATTGGGCAGCCACCATCTTTCCATGCTTTAAAGTGCAATGAAACCGAGTTAGAGGAAACTTCAATGAAGCGTGATTTTTCTGGTAATTTTGGCTTGTATCCTTTTGTTCGAGTATTTAAAATATCAGAAGCTTCACCAGCACCAATACTGCAAAGAAATCAAAACATGATATATCGATAATAGGTTTATGCGTATTCAAAAACTTACTTATTGAAACCAGTTGCATACACCTGATAACGTGACCCACACAGTAGACTATCAATAGAGAACTTTTGTGCATCAACAGAAACCTCCGCAGTTTCCCATTCTCCGAATTCTATTAGACATATTAAACAGTAATGCAGAAAATATAAAACAATTTTAGCACTAGAATCCTACCTGGTTTATAGTGCAGAGTATATCCATGAAGTGGAGCAGTATCACCTTCGTGTGGTTTCAATTTAACAGTCAACGAATCAGTTGTTGTGGCTGAGAGACTAACTTGAGGCGACTGTGGTGGCGCCAAAACAATCAACTTATGTGTTATGGAGTCCTTAGCGATCGAGTTTTCAGCATGACAACTGTAATCACCAGCATCTTGACGATTAACAGATTTTATCAACAGCGAACCATCATTTAAAATGCGCATACGATCGTTGCCACTGAATTCGATGCCCTTAATTTTCCATGTGATGTCAGGTTGTGGTGAACCTACAGCCAAACAAGGCATTTTTGCATCTTCCTTAAAAGTAGCTGTGAATGTGTCATCGAATGAGGCAATCTTGGCTGGAACTTGATCACTTGGCATAGCAACAATACTTTTTGAAGGTTGACCTTCGCCAATATTGGTACTAGCGGTAACCCAGAATTCATAAGGTTTATTCTTCTCTAGTTCAGTAGCTTCGAAACTCATTTGATAATGTGGTATTTTTTGACTCTTAGCTTCTCCATCGGCTCCTTCAACTTTCGAATAGACTGTATATTGCTGTATAATTCCATTGGGTTGTGCTGGTGGACGCCATGAAACTAAAATAGCAGCATGACCCATTACTAGTGCTTTAACATCGGTGGGGGCCTCAGGTACTGTAAGTGCATTGTATGTATATATGTAGAAAACATTGTACATAATTATATTAATTTAATTTAATATTACCATCAGGTTCGGTTTGGCAGTGTATGGGTGCGCTACGTACACCATCTCCGCCAGCAGTTGTAGCTAAAACTTGCATTGTATAGTTGGTGTATTTCTTTAATCCATGTAAAACGGTATCAGAGGAAGCAGTCTTTTTGTAGTGGCGTTTGGTTTCATCTAAAAAAAAGTATTAAATACGGGAAAAAAACAAATATAGTATATAATCACTTACCATACCACTCGTCGCTGGGGGCATATACAACTTTGTATGTCTTGATAACACCATTTGCAGATTCCAATGGTGGACTAACCCAACTAACGCGTATTGTCTGTGAAGTTAGAGTTGTGCAAGCAGTGTCGCTAGGTGGTTGACTGGGTGTGCCTTCAGCAGTAAATTGTTTCTCTTCATCACTCATTGGACCAGCACCAATTTTGTTAAACGCCTGTATAACGACCGAGTACTGTGTATAAACGCGTAAATTACTGAGTTCCAAATTATGTTCTTTGCCCTCTTCAGTTAAGAAATTAACAGTTTCGAAAACAAAAGATGAATTAGTATTTGATAGTTTATAACCCACGTAGTATCCCAAAATTTCACCATTCCATTCTGTACGCGCTGGTGGTTTCCAAGTTACACGCAGTGTAGTCTGATTGACTGGTTCAACTTTAATATTTTGTGGTTTTCCAGAAGGTGCTTCTTCGGCAGTGATGATTGTTACAGCTTCGGATGATTGAGATGAACCAATTGCATTTTCGGCGACAATTCGAATATTATATGTGGTAGCTGGACTGAGTTTTTGTACTTGTGCTTCAGTTGTGTGTCCGGGTACCATAACACGATCGATCTCATCCCAAGATGCACGAGAGCGTTTAAATTCGATGATATAACGGATCAGTGGGGAATTACCATCATAGGGTTGTGCCCAGCTTAATTGTACCGATCGTCCAGATTTATCTAAAACTTTCAAGGCATATGGCATTTCGGGTACTTCTTGTATAATCATATTAATGTTAGCATCGTCGGAACCGAAAGCATTCGTAGCAACACAAGTAAACATAGCAGAATCGGAACGCTCAGTGCGTTTGATTGAAAGACTTGACATAACACCGGTTGAAAGAATTTCCTCGCGTATAGTATAACGGTTATCGTTCTTGGGGTCCAAGCGCATATTATTCATATTCCATAAAATGCCAATAGGTTTTTCGCCTTTAGCTTCACATTGCAAGACAGCAGGTTCGCCGCGGCGTGCAGTTTGATTACGCAGTTTTTCAGTAAATTCTGGTGGTGCTTGTACACTGATCATAATAACAGCTGATAGACCAGATCCAATACCATTGATAGCTTCACATAAATAGTAACCTTCATTAGTTTTTTGTATATTATCGATGTGTAAAGTGCCTTCTTCAACACGTATATTATCGTTTTTCTTAAGATCTTTATATTCTCCAGGGCTATCACCTGATAAAGTAAATTTTGATTTTATTTTTACTAATATTAATGTACAATATAAACTAATTGACAATAGTACAGTTGTTGTTTATGGTAAAGTAATATTGTCAAAAAAAATTAAAAGAAGTTATTAGCAGTTAAAACTAATAAATTAATAGGATGAGGCTTTAAACAATTTATTCCGCTTAGTTTATTTATTATAAAATATATTATAAAAAATGAAATTTTGCAACATATTTAATAGAATTAATACTGGCTTATTAAAAGTATATGCTCGTTTATATAATTTGTAATTTTTCATATGACTTACCAACTGCTTTCTTCCATGTCACTTGTGGTTTTGGAAAACCGTCAGCCTTACATTCAACTTTCGCATCTGATCCTTGTGCGAAGGCTTTGTCAGTGGGCTCCAAAATCCATCTTGGTGGTACTGTTGTTTTAATTTCCATTTATTAAATAAAGGATATAGAAAAAATAATGAATTAGTATATTGTTACTGAGACTAAGATATTCTACATTATTTTTGCATGCGGAAAGAAGAGTAAAAACTCTGAATCGGATGGACGGATCAACAGAAGGATATATGAAATGGATATTTAAAATTTAGTACATTTGTTTTTATTTTCATGTATATAATACCATTTCATATTTCCTTATTGTACTTACAGAAATACTGATGTGAGGTAAGATATTACTCTGCTTATAATTAAGTCATTTATCAATAAAATTATTTGAATTATTATTTTAATTTTTATTTTCTTATAATAAAATGTGATACATCTGATTTTTTTTTGTTTATTTGGGTTTTCTTAAATCTATATTACTATCTTATTTTTGTAACTATCCCTTGCGAGTATCTAAATTTAAAATTTAGTAAATTTTATTTTTTATTTGCTAATATTGAATTTAATTTTATATGTCTTTATACATCTATAATATTTTTAACAAAAGTCTCTTATAAAGATATGTATTCCATTGGGTTTATTTCATATAGCCTTTAAATGATATTATCTTCAAGAAAACCTTCTTTAAGGAGGAAAAATCATGTATTGAGTAATTTGTTCGGTTTGGTATATTCGACTGTTTTCAACGAAAGATGCTAACAGCAGATATGTTGACTTAGAGTTAAAGAACACATATTCTCGCTGATAATGCTGTTGTCTAACGTATAAATATAATGTTTTAAATATTTCTCACAAGGAAGACGGTACTTGAAATAAGTTGACCTTGCTGTACATTATTTTATAATATTTATTTTATGAGATATAAAACCTAGATACAAAAACCTATAAAACCTATTTGAAAAGTGAATTTAAATTAATATTTAAAGATCTTTATAGCACATATTTGGACGATATAGAAACTCGTCAAATATCCGCATTTATGAATGCGTTCAGATGGGTATATGTGTAATATGGGTGGAAAAAAAGTAATTAGAAAAGCTTTTGTCTATCTACCTTTATAATTTATTTTATATATATATATACTATATATATACACTATAAAATTTGATAGTGTTTTTATTCATCACTATATTTTTAGTGAAAATATATTGTTTTTTCTGAAAAGCAAAAAGTAATAATTCTTTTATTTCATTCTTTTTTACAATTGTATTTTTTAATATTGAAATGGTTTATGAAGTTTTTTCCTACAAAATTTTATTCAATTTTTTATTAAATTTTATTTTATTCACTTTTATGTTTTCGTTTTTTGTGTGTATAGCTGGTACTTTGACTGTCGTTGTTTAAATTGTATTTCATTTAAACATAAGAATGCCCACATGTAGGTGAGATCTGACTATAATAATTTCTGTTCTAGTGTCTATAGTAAATGTTGTTAAAAATCGTTTGATTATTATTATTTACTTTATCAAAATATAATTTCTTTTATTATAAGAAAATTAATTATTAATTATTTCTTTTACTTATTTTACTGATTAAATGAAATAATTATTTCAAAAGTAACGTCAATATTTCTGTAAATATGTATTTTACATTAATAAATTGGTACGAACTACAACAAAAAAGCGTTTACAAACAAATATTAATCAAATTAAATTTAACAAGGACAACAGAAAGCTGTGTTTAATTAAAATTAAAAATAATAAAACTTAAATTTAATTATTTGATTATATATATGTATATAGTATATTTAGGCATGCGTTAAACGAAGTGTTGCCTGGTGTGGAAATATGAGTAAGAATATTTTAGTGTAATAATTTTAACCCATACCAGACAACAATAGTTAGACTTCGTTCATATACAAATGAGGTTTTTAATGAAAATGATATATAATAAAGAGAGGAAGTTTAAGGATGGGACAGGATTAGATGGGATTCATTTTTATGCGGTGAATGGTTGATATGCTTCTCACTGGCATATAATATTCTAACCCATCACAAAAGTATTAGCAAGTTTTAGTAGTTGCATTGGTATATTAACGTAGTTACTCAAGGATTGTAGCAGTGAGGGTGTGATGAAATGACTGAATAAGATTTTTATGCTATTTTGTGTTTTTGACTTATTTGTTGCGCACATTTATGTTCTTCAATTTTCAAGTCAGTACGACAAATTGATTCTTTTGAGTTGCAAAAATGATTATATATATTATATTAGCTGCCTTAAATCAACTTAAATTAAATCATTTACAATAAATGAACAAAAATTATGCAAATTAAAGTAATTTAAAATTTATTAAATTAAAATATTAGCAATATCGAAAGCCATATATAATATAAGCTATGCTGTTGTTTAGCAACTGTGTGCTACATACAAGCATTTGTTTTTAGTAGAGTGCAAGATGGTTTCTTGGTTGGTTGTTGTGTGTTCTTGTTGTATATTTTGATAAGTGATAATTTAGTTGTGCGTGTTTTGTAGTGTTTTGTGCCTTGGTAGTGATAATGTATGCAAAATTTGAGCTGTTTTGCCATCGAATTTATTAAATTAAATGTTTTTGGTTAAATATTTGAATTCGTTTAACTATGGTTAGGTTTCGACTAACTTTAGTTTATTGAAAAATGATTCATTGGAGTGCTGTTGCCATAATTTGTTAGATATTTGGTTTTTTCGATTATATTTTATATATACAAAAGTTTTTCATCAGTAGCTAAAAGTTTCGCTTGAATCAACGTTAGACAAGTAGTTTAATTATATTTAATTATAAAAAAGATATTTAAATGTTTTTAAACGTACGAAGTGTTTTTCCTTTCTTGTTAAAATAAGTATTTTACAAAATTTAATTTATTATTTTTTTTAATAAAAACTGTTGAAAAGAGAGAAATATTAGAAAATACTGGTGTTGAGTTTAGACGAAGGTGTCTGTTACAAAAGAGAAAAAAAATTATTAACTATTTTGAAGTTTTAGCCTACCATTCACAATTAACGTGACCACTTTGTTAACCTTTCCGACTTTATTGGTGACTTCACATTTGTAGAGTCCAGCATGGTCGGACGTTACATTATTGATCAGTAAAAGGCTAGTGTGCTCCCCTACACTAGCCACAGTAGCAATATTGTTTTGCAGACTAACACTATTTAAATACCATTGGAATAATAGAGGAAGATCACCCTTTGTCGCTATACATGTTAACTGCACATATTCACCCATATGACTTATAATGGCTGATTGTGCTAGATCGGCCAGTATGGGCAGCTCTTTAAGAAAAATGTGATGTTTTAATTAAAAATATTTGTAATGAAAGCTTGAGATTTTGAATTAAGCGAATTTCGGTTAAAGGATTTATTTTTAATTTTTAATATAGTTGAAGAAAAATAAAGAGTATTAGAGTAATGTAATCTGAAAATCTCAAAATCTCAATAGATTTCGGCTCTTTAATATTTAAATCAGAAATCAACTGGATGATATAATTGCTCACATAGTCCGCATTTTAATCATGTCCGAGCAACCTTTTACAGATTACTTATAAAATCAAATAAAATTATTAGATGGGACAACTTATATTTTGAAAAATAATTTTTAAATTCAAATTTAAATTTAGTACATAAAATATAAACTACAAAAAAAATTTGACCTCATACCCTTTACTTTCAGTTGTGACCATTTACTGGCCACACCAGCAGCATTACTTGCAACACATGTATAGTTTCCAGAATCACTAATTGTGGTCTGACGCAATGACAATATAAGAGTGTATTCGTCGATTTTATGATAAATAGAACGCAATAATGGCTGACCGTCTTTGAGCCAATAGATATCAATAGGTAAATCACCTGAAGTTATCATGCACATAACAC